GTTTCTCAGACTCCCACTCCGGAATCGAACCCTGATTCCCCTTTACAACCATGATATTGATAGTAAATACTATCATAACATGTAACTAAAAAGTAAAAAATAAATATATTTAAAAAAAACTGAAAAACACGCTTTTAAAGCACATCGAACTAAAAAGTTAAAAATAATTTTTATAATAAGCTTAAAACAATAATGTACGAAAAGTACTAGTATTATTGTGATAAAAGCGTGGGTGCTTTGTGCCATATTTTTCGTATATTGAGCGCCCGACGCTTTTATCACAATAATACTAGTACTTTTCGTACATTATTGTTTTAAGCTTATTATAAAAATTATTTTTAACTTTTTAGTTCGATGTGCTTTAAAAGCGTGTTTTTTAGTTTTTTTAAAATATATTTTTTTGATTCAGTTGCTATACTGGATTATTAAGATTGATTGGTGGGGGAGAGTCGTGAATACTTGGTAAAATGAGGCTGATGTAAATTTTCCTCAGCGGAGAACACCATCTTGTGCCAGGTGGTTTCAAATGCGAAACGACATTTTACATATTAATTAAATGGAATCGACAATATGTCGTTATTGTGTTCTAATCTATGCTTACCCTACAAAAACAACAAACGGATTACGTTTATCACATCAGTTATCAGTCAATGTATAAAAGTATTACACGATTATAATTTTTCATCTTATAATTTATAAAAATTTTAAAGAATTAACATGTTACCAATTAATACAGCTATTATCTACGTGTACCTATAATCTTAAAAATAAGTTTATTCTTTATTCAAATTTACTAAATTAAAAGTTTGTCTCACCACTTCTGAGACCTACGAACCGCCACTGCTGTAATAACTGGCTTTTCAAAGAGGAATCAACTGGATACCATTGGAAATATTGCAAAAGGTTTTAAATCGCTTCAGTTTTTATTTCTGATTAATATTAAAGATTTTAATTTTAATTTGAAACGGTGAAGTCCCCCTCGTCATTTGTAATTGTTCAGATGGCTGTTCGGATAAATTTTATTGGTGACAGCAGTGAAGTTTTACCTGCATTATTCATATTTATACTTAAATTAGATTTAGTGTTAATTCAGGGAAAAATATTTGTATCCATAACATTGGAGTACAATATCTTGTCTGATAGGTAGGTGAAATGAGGAGGTCAATGACAATATGCGAGGACGTGATTAGAGAGGTGGAATGTTTTAAGTATTTAGGGTCAGTTGTGCAAAAGAGTGGTGGTATTGACGAGGATTTAAGACACAGAATTTAGTGCGGTTGGTTGAAGTGGAGAGTAAGGTTTAGCGTCTTATGCCATAAAAGAATTCCAATGAGGCCGAAAGGTAAATTCTACAAGACTGTAGTGAGGCCAGCTATGATGTATGGTTCAGATTGTTGGGCGGTTGATAAGAAAGTAGAGCAGAGAATGAGTGTAGCAGAGATGAAAATGCTTAGATGGATGAGTGGAGTGACTAGAATAAGGAACGAGCATATAAGAGGGAGTATAGGTGTAGCGTCAATCGTGGATAAGATGAGAGAAAATAGACTTAGATAGTTTGGTCATATTATGAGGAGAGAATAATCGAAAGTTGTAAAAACAATTATAAAAATGAATGTTGAAAGAAGAAGAGGTAGAGGAAGACCAAAAAAGAGATGGAGGGATGCTATTGAATGAGATATGAGGTCGGCTCATGTGAGCGTAGATGATGTGGGAGATCATGTCATGTAGAAGTTTAGGATAAGAGTAGCTGATCCAAAGTAGTTGGGATTAAGGCGAGGAAGAAGAAGAAGATCAACGTTTTCAGTTATGAGTTAGCTCATAACTGTAAACAACATAACAATCCACGAAAACTTTAACACATTCATATTTGTTTAGCTGTCTAACAGTCGGTTTGCCTTTGTAAAATAACTGAGTTTAAAATTTCTTTGAAAAATATTATTAGAATATAATCATTACAACTATTAATTTATTCAATTTTTTTTTTGTATAGTTAATGCAATTCTGAACCTGAATACCTCGAAGTGGTTGCAGGGTCAATCGTTATATTTCATTGCAATGTACACCCAAAGAAAAACCTCAATCAATTTCGATAGAGAAATTTTATCAAGGGTTTATGATAATGTTTTATTAATACGAACAAAATAATTATTCTTATGAATAATTATTGTTCAAGACAAGAAAAAAAATCATCATATTGATAAATATATCATAGATTCAATAGTAACGATATATTTATCAAATTGAACGATGAATTTATTATATAGATCGAGGTTTTTCTCTGGGTGTAGTAGCTGATCAATCCCGTCAAATTAATGTTGATTGGTTGGTAAATGATAAGTCGATTAAATTTGAATCTGAGACCCGATTGATAAAAACTATTAATAATAATTCAAAATCTACTTTGCTGCAATTTGGAACGAATACATGTCTTATTAAAACAATAATAAAAATCAATCAATTACAAATTCTACGATACTCATTGTACAAATACGATTTGTATTTTTTTTATATAGATATCTGAGTCTCTGTTTTTGTGATTTTAGAATAAACCAAATCTACCTAAGTTAGTAAAAGTTAAATGTAATGAAAAAGAAGCAATTGTAATGTAGTAGTCAATGGGAGATAACAGAGTACCTATATTATATTATACTATTGAGTATAACTTAACACTTGGGTTTGATAAATGGTTAATTGCTTCAGAAAACATGTCAGTGATAGGCTAGAAATATGTTATGCCATAGACTACAAAGCAAAAATTTTAATTTAGAGTTATTGCCATAAATAATTTTGGAAAATTAATTTCATCTCAAAAATTGAGTATTTGTTTTACATATTTTGTTTTGTTAACGCTTTATACGCCCATTAAGGGCTATACCGGCCTCCATAAAAGAGGAGGTTCCTAAACCATTAATACTCCGGGACGGGTGGTTAGTCCATCTCTGAAAAGAGAGATGGCGACTCTAATTACCGAACTGATCTATGGTTCGGCAAATGAAACCGCCGCACAGTGGGACCAAACGCTGATTTAGCCGGCCAAAAGTACCATTTTTAAATCAACTAATAAAAATTTTTTTTTTAGCAAATTTTTTTTATTATATCCTTATAAGGTCATGTACAAAAATTCAAGGCCAAAAATTGATATAGTAATGGTTGGGTGCTATTTAAATATCATAACACTGTATTTTTTTGTTATTTTTCTAGGATTTTTATTATTTCTTCAATCATTTTTTCCTGCTTAATTAAAAACCTAAATTTTTTTTTTTTTAATTTAAAATGTTTAAAAAGTCATCGGCTTTCAAATTTACTAAGAAAAAATTTTTATTTCTTTTTTTTTTTATTTTTAATAATTTTTTACACACAAAAAAATGCAAATACTTATTTTACATTGTTTTTTAAAGAGTTTAACTCAAAATTACGCAATATTACGATTACACCAATACATGCATGTTGTAGAAGAACTCTTAAGCTACAATTACAAAAAAAAAAATTTTGCGTCAGATTGCATTTGAGCCCTGCACATAGAATTTCCCTATAATAAACGTGTATTTTTGTAAAAATTGTAATTTTAATAATTTCATTGGTTTTATCAGTTCGATCAACTTTATCAGCTTAAAAGTTGTAAAAATTAGATGTAATTAAAACTAATGATTCGTTAAAATTAAGTTTAAATAAAGTTTTTAATAATACACATAAAATAAAATAAGTTATACAATTTTACTGTGCCACTAAATATTGTTTTATTTTAGAAATACTATTATATTATTGATAATATTGATATATTATTGATAAACTATTAAACACTATTTATTTTTAAAAGTTTTATATTGTAGGAATTAATCATATAATGACACGCAGTTATAACAGAAAATAAATTCCAAAACAACATTTAATTATAGCGCAATTCCACACTTGAATACTCCATATCAGTGGTATAATATAACTAAATATCGCTATTCATTTTGGGGACTTACGACCTCTTAACCCCTACCACCTAGTTGCGCCATTGTTCTGTATATTGTAACTATAGTTAATTCATACTGTATTTATAAATAGTACCCTCTAATCTAGTAAGTATTTAACTATATTTACCAAATAAATTAGACAGAAATGAAATAGAAGCAATATAAATTTAATGGTGATGAATTAGCACGAAGCTCATGATTGCCTACCCCATACAATTAATAAATAATAATAAAAACGGTAGCACAGTGGAGTCAAGGCATAATGTGGACGAGGCATAGATGGGGCAAGTATAGATGATATCTGACATTGATTAAAATTACTATTATAAGAAACGCTTCGATGCAAATATGTAGATAGAAAATGATGGATAATTACAAAAGTAATATCAACTTCTATTTCCTCAATTATATCCTGATTAGTGATAATTTGATTTATTCATATAATATATGAATAAATACTAATAATAGTAATTTAATTTAGTATGAAATTGATGTTCAATAATTTAATATTGTAATTTATACGGAGAAATTATAAAAAAAAATAATAAAGTAGTTGTATATTTCTTTACTTTAACGGGTATAAAAATGTAAACGGCTTGATGCAATACTTTTCAATAAAAACTATTTGTTACTTATAAATAAATACACGGCACTACAAGGAACTATCATCAGAATCAAAAATATACTTTTCTAAATCAACTTTTCGCACTGTTTTCAAATCTGAAATTAGACTTTTTCTATCACTTCTAATTTTTAATATTATTATTAATTACACATAAAATAATAAATACAAAAAAAAAAAAAATTATTTTCAAATTATTACTAATTTTGATTTATAATATGTTAAAAATAATCAGAGCAAAAAGACATATTAACCTATTTTTTTGGTCCTTTAAAATTGTTTTTGTAAAATTTTATAATAGAAAAAAGTTGAATCTATTACCATAACTTTTAGCAAAAGTTTGAAATTGACATTAATAATAGAAAATTTTAAAAATTTTATTGTTGATATTAATATTAATTAAATTTTATAATTACTATTAAGTAAATTATACAGTAAATTTATCAGAAAAGCTCAATATTTACTTTCATTTTTATCGTAAAAATAGGTCAAGTGAGAGCTGAGAAAATAAATTATGTCCACAAAAAGAAACCACATAGTAAATTAATATTCTAATGAATAACAAATTTCTTCACATGAGGGAAGATTACAGTGAAGGGATCCTTGATCTTTATCGAAGTTATTGAATCTAAATGAGATAAAAATCAAATGCGTTCAAATTTATTAAGAAAAAAATGCAAAAAATTCCTTGCCATACGCGGGTTGGAAACTTGTACCCTAAGCTCGTGTAACTCAAATGTTATCGATTTGGCAACCGTTCGTCGCTTTTGTCAATAGAAAAAAACGGCAATTTAAGCTAGTTCAAATTACAAAGTTATTTTTCTCGACTTAAATAAAGCAAAGAAATTTAAAACTATTTAATAGAAAAAAAACCATGATTATAAATATTTTACAATATTATCATAATAATTTAATTTATTTATTTTTTATTTTCGAACTAAAATAATGAATTGAATATTTATAACGTGTCTAATCATTATATTGAATTATAATATATTACATATACAATGATATACAAAAAAAATTACAAAAGTGTGGTTTGAAAACAACAAAAAACTATCATTAAATCATTTGATTTTTACTGATTTTCTAATGCTAAATTTTACATGTTACACATTTTTCTAAAACTTCAAATTTTTATGGTGTATAAAACAGATATATATCTACAAAACTAAAAAACAATTTTTTTGGAAATTAGATTACCCAACAGAGATATTGCACTTAGAATACACGTATTTTTATAAAATTTCTAATTTTGTAGGCCTCTAAATTCCAAGATAATTGTTTTAAATATTTTAAATTCAGTTGAAACATAGATTATACACTATACAATACCACATGTAAAAATCACAATAAAATAATAACTTCTTAATGGTTTTAAGTGAGCTCAAAAACGCCAATTTTCACAAAAAAGCGCCATTTTTTGAAAGTCATTAAAGTTTAGAATTTTACATAAGTTTTTTTTTTTTTAATGTAAACTTTACGTTATAATAGGGTCAAATCTAAAATTTTATTTCGATTGAGTTGAAATTGAATAATCTGTGTGTTTTTTAACGATCTAGTTATTTTTAACTTTTTTTACATTGAAATAGCCATAAAAATGGGAAGATAAAAAAAAAAAAAAATTGTTTTAATCTAAATATAGCATAATGAATAAACACTGAAAATTTCAGAAAAATATGAGGTGGTCGTGCAACCACTTCTGGATGATTTGGCATGGATTGACCCATTTATAAAAAAAAAATTATATTGATTCGGTCAATTTTAAAAAAAAGTTATGGCAGTTTTTAATAAAAAAAATTGATAAAATGTCGAAAATTAGCAATTTTTTAATTTGTAATTTTTTTGGAGGTTTCCCCCATTTACGGGGAACGAGGGAAATTTTTTCAATTTTGAAGGGTAATGTCTTCGACTAGATACGATTTGTGATCTTTTGACGTATCGTCGAAAGAAATCGGTTCGGTGAGAGCTGAGAAAAAGTGGTAACAGAAAAAAAAAACCATCATAGTAAAATTAATACCTTCTCAGCTTCGCATTGAAGCTAATAATAAATATAAAATCGAGAATTTTTTCACAGAAATCGTACGTTTTTCCTTAATATTTGATGTCCGTTTTCACCACCAAGACAAGTTCAGAGGTCAAATTTTTTTTTTTCAAATTAAAATTTATTACATAAGCTTTAATGTATGGTATATATTTTAGTGTCAGTATTTCCAGAACATTTTCAAAAGTTAATTTTCTGTGAAAAAGTGCTATTTTGAAACCCTTTCTGTGGGCTGGTAAAAAGTCAAATGTTCATAAAAATATATCAAATGAAAAGTAAATACCTAATGTATCTATAAAAAAAATTATATTAATTCGGTCAATTAAAAAAAAAAAAATTGGCGATTTTTAATTTGTAATTTTTTTAGAGATTTCTCTTGTTTACAGGGAACGAGGGAATATTTTTTAACTTTTTAAAAAATGAACAAATTAAAATTTTTTTTTTTATATTGTAACCTTAGATATTTTTTTTTCATTTGATATAATTTTTTTGAAAATCTGACTCTAAACCTACCCACACGGGAGATTCAAAAAATCAATTTTTGCCCACAAGTTAGGCTTTTTCAATTTAATTTTTGAAAATGTTCCGTAAATGTTGACACTTTTATTTAATCTTAAATTAAAGCTTATATTAAATAAATTTGTAAAAAAGTTGCCATTTTGAAACCCTACCTGGGGGCTGGTAAAAAATCAAATGTTCACAAAAATATATCAAATGATAGGTAAATATCTAATGTATCTATTAAAAAAAGTTATAGCGCAGTTTTAAGAAAAAAAAAAAATTGAAAACATCGAAAATTACCGATTATTAAATTTGTAATTTTTTTGGAGATTTCTGCCGTTTACGGGGAACGAGGCAATTTTTTTCAATTTTTGAGAGTTATGTCTTCGACAAAATACAAATTGTGATTTTATGACGTATTGTTCATCAAAATCGGTCCAGCGAGAGCTGAACACAGACACAAACAAAAAAAATAAAAAAACACATTATAGTAACATTTGCATCTTCGCATAGAAGTTAAATACAGTGCATGTTACAACTACGCACGGATAAAGTGAAACTTCTTTCGTTATGTAGATATCGGTAAAAATTGCACCTATTGTGGTTCATTAAAAATTTTTTATGCACAATCAAAATTATTTGAAGTTAAATTATTTAACACTTTTTAAATAAAATTATCTTTAATTTTCGAAATACAGTACTAAATTATAATATAAAATATACTTAACAGCCGACCGTGATGCTTAATAATCATTTGTTTTCTTGGACCCTCTATAAAGAAGTTTCACTTCAATTACTTAATTCATATCAAATATTTCTTAATTTTTAGTAAAATGGTATGCATATGCATTTATTTTATACTTATATATATGAGTATAAAATAAATTCGCTTTTTCTTTAGTTTAGGGATAATTTTAAAATATAGCATTTTGGATTACTACTTAAATTACGGCCTTCTTAGAATATTATAATTTTTATTTAAAATATTAATGCAATGTATAAATATTGTATTACTATGCTTTGCTTAGCTAGGGCTCCGCCCTAAACCCGGTGGCCTACAGGCTTCACGCACCTACGGCGCGTTAAGATCTTTAGGCTGTCATTCTTCTTTATTGTTATCAGTTATTATCACTATTAACAAATAATATTTAATTTTACAAAATTCAAGTGTATTTTCAAAGCTAATTTCGTTGTACCTCGTCTCAGCTATAAATCTTAAAAACTCTCGGTAAGCTAACCAAAAAATTAATTGTTTATTTATAATGAAATGCTTCTTTATTATTATTTAATAATCACATTATGAAATGGCGTTTGGTAATTATACATAGGTTAGTCTATCTCTATATAGAATAAAATTGGTAATTGTTACTACAATTTAGTGTATTTAAATTCTGATTAAGTAATATAAATACAAAAACGAAGGTGGGTTCCCTCTCGCAAATCAAAGTTCAATTGACGCCAAATGTGGTATACTTGAAAAATGTATTATGTCCAAAGCATCATTGGTAATAATATGTTCATTAAATAAATATCATTTTTTTTGAAATTCTATATTATGTTTTAATTTTTTTTTGGATTATGAAAAAATAATTAGGTAATTTTATACAAATAAATCGTTGTTTTAAATTGTTTTAATCTCTCTCTCTCTCTTTCTCTCTCTCTATATATATATATATATACGTAAAAGGAATAATGAACAATAACTGATTATTAGTATTGGTATTTAGTTGCCATTTAATTTTCAGGCTTTAATATGGAATCATTACTCATAGAAGAAATTAAAGATTTAGGAATAGAATTTAGTCCAGAAGAACTGAAAAATGCTATCAATGGTGGAGCAAAATCAGTGAATTATACCAAAATAGTTGAATATATTACCAAAGAAATTCAAGCTTTGTCTGCATTAGATGAATATGTAAATTCTATTTCATCAGAAGTGGATTCTAGCTCTTTTTTGTTAGAAGTTAGTAGCTTTCTTAAAGAATTAGGTTGTTCATATTCTACATTAACTTCTGGGCATGTTAGTGATCGTTTAAATTCAAAAGAAAATAAATTATTGCTATTAGATTATTTAATAGGAGAACTGAAAGCATCACGCATACTAAAATCAAAACACACTGAAAAAAATTTGAGTATGAAAGTTACACTACTTGAAAGTAATCCATCTAAATGTCTTAGGGAAATTTTAGTAACATTAAAATTCCCTAAACCTCCACATGATATAAAAGTATCTCTTCTATTTAGCAAAATTGTTCAAAAATTACAAGAAGTTTTGAAAAATGTACCTTCAGAACTAATTGGCAAACCAATAGTATGTAATTCTTTTAGTAGTAAGCAATGGGATATAATAAATAATGAAATTGATATTCTTAATGAAGACTTTACAATAAGGCGCACTATGTTATTAACTCGGCTTGACGTAACATTTCAATCATTTCAATGGCCTGATCGATTAAAAATGAAGAAAAATGAACTAGAAAAAATTTATCAAACTAAATTAGATATAATCAAATGTATGCCTAGTTTTACTATCTCAGATGTGTTATCAGCCCGTGAAGATTTAGCAATTGTAGAAAAAACTTCCAGTACTTTAGCTATTCAAAATACCAACTCTTCAGTTAATAAAGTTGTTATTGGTCAGGTTCCAGACAGAGGAGGAAGACCAAAAGAACAACAAGCACCACCCCCAGAGATGCCAAGTTGGCAGCAAAGAACACAACTTCAAGATGGGAGAGGTGGTCACCAATATAAAGGGAATCAAGGAAGAGGATACCAAAATAGAAGTGGCCCTGGAAAGTTTGATCAAACTAAAAATCAGTCTTATGAAAAAGCTAATAGTGTAAATTACCAAGGTGGAAATAGTGTTTATCAAGTAACTGATGGATTTCAGTCTATAAGTGTAGGAAATAGAGGTTCATTTAATAATAGTGGACGTAGTCGTGTGCAGGGTGGCTGGAATTCATCACGAGACAGTTATCAAGATAATAGCAGACAGAATAATCAAAATTTTCAACAAACCTCAAGTTATAATAGTAATGAATATAATAGTTATTCAAATGAAAGTGGATGGAATAACACAATGAATAATAGAAATAACCAAAACTATTATAGCAATGACGGGAATTATCAAAATGATTCATATGATAGTAATAGACGAGGATTTTCTAAGAGAGGCAGAGGTCATGATGGACGTACATATTATAATCAGCAGAGACATAACCAAAATTATTAACTAGCGAATGCTAGCATATTTATTTTAAAATTGTATAAATATAAAATGTTATTATATTTTTGGAAATATATTGAAATTTCTAAAAATTTACTTTTACCATCTTGCATTTATATTTTTTCTAATAATTTAAGAAATTTTAAGATTTTCAAATATATAAATATTAAATATTTATATTATATCTGTATATAAAATTTTGTAATAAATTAGTTTATTTAAAAACATTAAACCTATTTATTTGAATAATTATTCAATTATTTTATCTTTTAATTGGACAATGTTAATTATAAAAGATTTGAATCACATTGTGATTAAATAAGGATTCTTATTTGAATAAGCAATAATTTTATTGTAAAGTTGTCTTTAATTATTATGACTAATAAAATGGTTTTAAATTTCTTTTAGTAAGAATGAATTTTAGCTTTAATAAGACTAAAAATCGTTAGTAATTTGTTTACTTGATTGTTTATACCATTTTTTTGGACAAAATTCAACTATTTAATTTTAAATAGATTTTCACATTTTTCTTAAGATATTTTAAATACTTTTCAAATACTACAGCTAATATCTAATTAAATAAAACACTGCTAATTGTTTATATTGAATATTATTTTCAAAATGTATCGCTATTTTCCACATCTAAAATTTTACATTCGAATTAAAAAAAGTCGATTGGAAAAGTATGGAAAGATTGTTAAAATACTCAATACATTGCATTTAAATACCAAACAGTAGAAAAATATTTGGATTCTCATTTGATTCATTTACGTCTCTTTGTTTGTCTTTAGGGGCAGAAAATAATGACTGCGAAAGATATAACTGTACTTCAAAGGAATTTTTTACAGACAATAAAAAAAAAGCAATTCTCATTGGTTATTTTTAATCCGTCTGACGCAAATTTTTTAGTAATTAAAAATAATATTTCATTACAATTTTGTAAGATGATAAATACACCTTATCATTCATCTTATGTGTGTATTTAGACACAGACTATATGAACACAGATAATTCACTCTGGATGTAAACAAAAACTAAAGGGTCACGTGACTGCGCACGATATCAGTATGACCACTAATTCCAGCATGAAATTTCGTTATGTGTATTCTATATTATTTTATTTATACAAATTAGTACTACACTTAAAATTATTCTTAAAATATAATTTTTAGCGTTGAGTTATGATGTAAGTCAAAAATTATTTGTTATAGGGAAAAAAGAGTGACTTTCTGGGCTGTTTGAATTATTTTAAGCCGATAAATTATTATTGATATGCTGATGACCTAAGGTAGACTATTCACGTAGAAAAAAAAACTAGTTTTACTTTAAAACAGCGGTTCTTAACCTTTTATAGAACACGGACCCTTGAAAGATTTTTAGAAATGCGGACCCCCTACCAATTTTTTGTCGAATACCTTTCTTTTACAAAACATATCAAGTTATCATAACCAAAATTATAATAACTATTTTATATTACAAATTATAGAAGAAAACATAACAAAATATACACATTTATAATTATTATTATTAAACTTAATTTTTCATTTTAAACTTTAACACCATTAAACACTTAAATTAAAAAAAAATTGTAAAATAAATTATTTTATTCTTAATATTCTTAAAACTTAATTTTTATATACTTAATTATTAAGTCTTAATGCGATGGTTGATGTTGCATTTCAGATACGAGTTTTTGAACATAAGGCTTAATACTTGAAAGCTTTAACTATAGTTCAGATTCTATGTTTTCTATTCGGTTTCGAAATTTATTCTTAATATAAACGAGGGCGGAGAAGGCTTTTTCGCATAAATAAGTTGTGGGGAATCCAAAGAACATGTATCTGTTATTAATTATGTTATTTATATTGTATATAATATGAATGCTGATGTTTGTACTCAAGCATTGTAAATATTAATAATTATTTGTATTTAATAAAACACTAAAATTATTTGATTTAAAAACTTTTTATTTCATAATGTAGTATCATTTAAATCGTTAGGTTGATAATAAAGTTGTACAATAATATTGTACAATACCTGAACAATAATTTACAAAATGTCATTCGACGGCACTGATTTCATGCGCTCTCCGTTATCAATCTTTTTAGAAATTTCCTTTGTTCTCGCTCGAGTGAGCTATCTGTGTTCATATAGTCTGTGATAACACTATCTCTCCCTTACCGGTTTATTAAATGATTATAAGTTATATTTGTATCATAATATTTATATGTATAATTTTATTTATACTTTACTCATAGTTTAATAACTACACATTTTACACATCAAAAGTTAAAATTATTATGTATTAATTAATGTTAAAATTTGTGTAACATATTCAATATAAGTAAATAAAACACTTATAACATTTAATTAATCATTATAAATAATGAAGTTCATTAATACTATGAGATTATTACATATTTGTAAACTATCATTAATCAGATTAAATTATTCAAAACACAACTTTATTATCCATTGTTTTTCAACAACATCTTATCAGTTTTCAAGAAATTTATTAGACAATCCTGGTATAAGATCATACATAGATAATTTGATATCAAATGAGTATTCAGATTCAATGACAAAGCCTAAGGTTTCAACTCTTGTATCAAAAATCAGATCATTGAAAGATGATTTGCTTTCATTGCAAGAATTAGACCTAGGTAAGTTAAGTAGTTTAGTACAAATCAAACAATATATTTCTGTTTTTGTCTCCTACTAAAATTTATATTTGAAGTAGTTTAAATAATTGTATAATTGAGTGTTATTTGTTTAATCATATTACTCATCATTTTTAGAATATTTCTGTTATTACTATTTTTATATTTATTTATTCACTTCCAGAAGACAGTGTACCAGCAAAATAGATTTGCAACACAATTGTATATAAATACAACAACCAATTTAATGATACTTAGTTATAACTATTATATAACAAAAAAATTAATAATATAAAAATAATAATAATTAAAAGTTTTGATTTTTAAATTCTGTAGACAAATAAATTAACTATTGATTCATTATAAACTTAATATTATCTAAAGTTGGAAAAAAATTAATGTTACAATGATCAATACATTTTATTCTTAATTATTCAGATAAAGGACAAGACAGTGATTTTTATACGCAAGTAAACAAAGAAAGAGATACCATTTTTTTTAAATTAAATAAACTTGAACTTGAAGTGAGTTTCTACTAAGATTTTAATTAGTTTTATACTAATTGAATAATAAAAGTATTAGCTTTTAGGTGCCTTAGTACCAAAAGATGAAAGCCTTAATTGTTCTGATGTTATTCTAGAAATAACAGCAGGAGTAGGTGGTCAAGAAGCAATGATTTTTACTCAAGATTTATTAGAAATGTATAGCTCTTTTACTCATTATAAAGGATGGCAAAGTGAAATGGCTGATTATTGTCCTACTGACCTTGGTAAATATAAATAATATAAGTTTATTATTTTAATTATGTTTATTAGTTTAAGTAATAGCGATAGGCAAAATGTATTCATTATCCTTTTTAATTTGCAAAAGTCCCTCTCAGTAAAAATTCAATTACTTTTAAATAAAAAATAAACACAACCTATTTTTAACTTTTCAAATTACTCATTGTATAATGATTATAATATTTTTCTTGTTGTACATTTAAATTAATTAAAATGTATTAAAAAAAAATTTTTTTTTAAGTATTTAATATTTAATCTTCTTAATAGGTGGTATAAGACATGTTTGCCTAATGATATCAGGGAATGAATGCTACCGCTTATTGCGTCATGAAGGAGGTGTTCATAGAGTTCAAAGAGTCCCTAAAACGGAAAAATCTGGTAGAATTCATACAAGTACTGTAACAGTTGCTATCTTACCGCAACCAACTGAAGTAGTTACCTTTTAAATTTCTACATTTTAAACTATTAAATTGAGTTGCCCTAGAACTGGGGGGCAGTTTCCCCTTGATAAAAATACGAGGGGGCAAAAGTATGATTATGTCCCCCCAATAGAACCTGACAAAAAAAAAATTACAATGAATCTGGAAACATTACCATACTAAATTTTTTAGCTATTCAGATTTTGAGGATTAAAAAGTGTTCATGAATTTACCTAACTCCAGTTGAATATTAAAAAACGATAGTATAGTGAAGTCGTGGCATAATTGGGTCAAGTATAATGATATCTGACAGTCATTAAAATTATTATCATAAGAAACACTTTGATGCAAATCTATAGTGTTTAATTTTAAAAAATTGGTGGATTATTTCAAAAGCAAAATTAACTCTTATTTTTTGTTCTACTTCGACTGCCATTTGCATATAGAAAATAGGTCGTTAATACAAATTTTTTTTTTTGAACTTCTAGTACATAAAATAAGCTTTATTTTAATATATATTTAAAAAACGCAGATTTTCAAAAGTTTTACTTTTTATACAAATTTTCAAAAATTCAAAAAAACTTTTTTTAACTTTGAAATCTCTTCAAAATAATCAAAATAAGTATAAATTTATATTAAATGTTAGTTAGATTCGTGTAAATTTTATTTTTATTGGGGGAATCATTACTATGGCAAACCCTTATAGGTATTTTACAATAAATATAAAAAAAAAATTTGAACACAAAAATAGCATGTTATTTTACTACGGTAGTCATTTCATAATAGGTCGTCAGAACAATTTTTTTTTTTTTAATTTATAGTACGTAACATAGCTTTAATTTGACATATGCTTTAAGAATGCAGTGTTTCCAGAATATTTTTAAAACTTAAGTTGAAAAAGTTGAATTATATAAAAAAGTTGCTATTTTGAATACCCTGTTGTGGGCAGGTAAAGGGTCAGATTTTCAAAAGTATTATATCAAATAATAGATAATCACTTAAGGTTTCTATATAAAAAAAGTTATTTTGTTTTGTTCATTTTTCAATAACTTATAATAATTTAAAAAAAAAATTTTGAAATTTACTGATTTTTAAAATCGTAATTTTTTGGGTGATTTTCATCATTTACAGGGAAAAATTTTCTATTTTTAAAGGTAATGTCTTCAACTAGATACAATTTGTGTTTTTTTGACGTATCGTTGAGAAAAATTGGTCTAGTAAGAGCTAAGAAAAAGTAGTGACAGACACAAAAAAAAAAAAATAATAAAAATAAATAAACACATCATGGTAAAATTAATATCATCTCAGCTTTGTAACAAAGCTAATAATATTTATTATTAAGAGTAAAATTTGTAAATTACCGGATTTTTTATATATGATCACTAAAATCCACTAAAAATAGCTTAACTGGCTTTTTAGCTTAGTAACAACCAAGAGGACCGAGTCATTAAATTTTTGCCCTCTATGTAAAAAATAGTTCCGGTGCCCCTGATTAGATTTTTATTTATTGCAATTTAATAGTTGAAAAAATAGATATCTTCAAACAAGAAAATTATTCCAAATACTATTAAATAAGTCTACATAAAGTTATTTCAACATTTTATGATTATTTTAAATAATATGCATACTATATAATGTACTACAATCTAAAAATGATGAAAACTATTTAATGAATCAAATTAAAAATTTATTTTCAAGTCAAATTATTTGTTAATAATGGATAATTATGATATAGAAAATCACATACTGCTACATTGATACTTTTAATAATATTTTGGCCTGACATTTGAGTACTTAATAGTATTACTAATATTAGTGAAAATTTCTATTATATTTTTAATTAAATAGTAAATTTTTTATAAATTTTAGTTTGACGTAATAATAAATGATAAGGATTTAATAATTGAGACAAAAAGAGCTTCTGGTGCAGGTGGACAACATGTAAATAAAACAGATAGTGCTGTCAGAATGCATCATAAACCAAGTGGTATGATCAAATAAAAAATAATTTTTATATACATTAAAAATCTTTCAAAGTATTAATTTTTATTCTAGGTATTATTGTTGAGTGTCAAACTGATAGGTCACAGATAAAAAATCGTAAAATAGCTTTACAAAAACTTAGAGCAAAACTTTATCAAATGCAATTAGAAGAACAAATATCTAGTACTAAATTAGCTAGAAAGCTACAGGTCAGTTAGCATTTCAGACATAATGTTAATTATTTATCTAGTTATAAAAATGTGTTGTAGGTTGGCTCAAGTGCTAGATCAGAAAAAATTAGAACATATAATTTTAATCAAGATCGTATAACTGATCATAGATTGAGTAAAAGTATTCATAATTTAGTTGGTTTTCTAGAAGGTACTGAAATTTTAGATAAAATAATAAATGAATTGGAAACTATGTCCAATGAAACTTTGTTATATAACTTTATACAAAGTATTTCTCTAGACAATTAATGATCAATTATTTCATGTAAATAATAAACTAGAACTTTTAAAATTATTAAAATGCCTATAATTGTTTTTTTTTTTTAATTTAATAGTTGTTGATGTTATTTTTTAGTTATTTTTCGACCTATGGTTTTATATGTTTGATTTAATAAAAATTTAATTAAAAATAATTAATAAATATTTTAGTACAGTATTATGTCATCATTTTAGGAAATTCAATCAATTTAAAAAAATCATTGTCATTATAATATAAATAGGCCTTTATATATTTAAATTATAATTAAATAATATTATATTAATGAAGTTTATTTGTTACCAACCCATTCAATTATTACCTTTGAAAATTCATATCAAAGCTTAAAATAATTGCCTGGTTACAACTTTAATTAGAAAAACCTTAGGAAACCAATGTTATTTTCATAGAACAACATCACACTCTATGAAATAAATTTATTTTACAAGATAAACATTCATTTTGGTCTTTAAATTCATTTTTATTAAATAATGATGCAAATTTATTTTTAACGTAGAACAAAAATTTCCAATAGGAATAACAATTATTTGTATTCTTTGGTATTTATTTACATAATATATAAAATAGGTAATTTGTAGTATAAATAAGTATTAAATTCATGAAGTAGTCATTGATAAAGTTAGCAATCATAAAAGATAACATCAATTAAAAACTTTAAGTTTTAAACAAATATAAAAAATGTAGTTTAAAAAATAAAAAACATTTATAAAAGTTTTAAAAAATTAAACGTAGAAAATAGAAGTATTAATACAGCAGTGGGAACTAATGATATACCCTTTCCACACATTTTGTCATATATTTCGTGTTCCTAAAAATTTACCGCATACAATAAAATTATTATATGTTATTACTTAAATGAGCTCTTAATTTCATTGAAATTTCGTTGATGAATACTCACTTGAGGATGTGTTCTTATGCAGGCCATTTTAGGCCTATTTCGAGGTAAACTGGAAGTAGCTTTATGGCAACTTAACGATATATTTTTATAAGGGACTTCATGGGGTATTGTGTCAAAAGCCATTGTGTCATTCTCTGTACATAATCCGTCAACCACTAATAGAATTAAGTTAGTGTTCATTATTTTGCGTACTTCATAAGGTCTAAAAATAAAAATATTTGTTAGTGTTGGATTATCGTGCATGTTATAAGAGGGTAATTTGGGGAATATAACCCGATTGAAATCGCGTAATTCGAAAAAATTCTTTTTTTTTTTTATAGGAGCAGTAAAAATATTTGTTATACATTCCTCCAAGAAATGACCTGGTAAAGTTCTTGTGTTTGTATTATATGAAATACTAAATAATAAATAAAACCAAAATATTTTGTTGAAAACGACAATTTTTTTTAAACAATTGAAAATACTTTTATAATATTTGAAGGGATACTAGTCACTCCGAATTTTACATTTGCGTTCTCGTCAATTATATTTTTTTTAATTATAACCAAGGGCTTCCACAGAAATTTTTCATGGGGGGACATTATTTTTTTAAGTGTTTCATTTTACTATTTACTCAACAGACCCACCATTAAAGAGTGTATGATCGGGTTCTTTGACCTAAGAACCGTTCTTCTTTGGACATTATAAGAGCAACAAAAAGAAGTTTAGCGCCCTCAATTATCGAATTAGGTTCTCAAAAAATTAAAAAAAATTATGTATGCTTTCATTTACATGGATAGTGTTTTTAGAGTAAAAAGAAAATGTAATTAGAGGGTTCTTAAAAATATTACTTTAATAGGCGCCTACGAGCTTCACAAAAAAAATATTAAAAAATAAATTATTTTTTGGTCGTTTTATGTATTATTTATCATAAGTGTCGCTATATATTTGATAGTTAAAAAATAAATATACGTACCATTTTTCTAAAAAAAAGAGCAATGCTCTTATCTTAATATTCATAATATAATTTAATAAAAATAACATTTTTTATCTTTATAAAATATTGTATACCCATGACTACAACTTAATATGAATTTACCTATCACATCTGAACTTTCTTTCAATTCGTTCTGGTATTTTTGATGTTAAAGTATACAAATTAACAACTCGATCGCATGTTTTTGGCCGAGTTCTATTAATCATAACAACATGTAGGGCTCTTTCTCCTTCGATTTGGAAACTTTTTAATTGTTCTTCAGTGTAGTTGTTTTCTTCATCATCCATATAGTCGGATACTACGATTAAAATATTAAAAATGTATAATTAATTTTAGTTTTGTGAACAACGAAAGTGAAAATTCACTCACTGTCTTCAAATATAGCTTGTGCTTGAGACAACATCCATTGGAAATTCGTTTGAGCAGCTACCAAAAACATGCGTCCAATCAACCATCCAATTATACTCCGTAAATGATGTATTGGCTAAAAATTATAATTTGTTTCATATAATCAAATGTTCGAAAGATAAAATTCTATATTTTTCCAAATATCTTAATAATCAATAGTTAAATACTTTAGTGTAAAGTATAAAAAATAAATTTATTTTTTTTAAATTTAGTACCATTTTTAAAAATGGTACATTTTATTTTTACTATTTGATAGTTTTGAGTTTTCTAATATTATAACCCGGCGATACAATAATACTTAGTCAACCATCCTCTTTGATATAAAATTGTATTTAGAAAATATATTTTTCCATTAAACCATCAAATTTCAAGACGTACATTGTCCTCAAATTAAAGTGAGTCATTAATAATAAATTTTGAGGTAAAAGCGATATAGTTTTCTGTTACTTACAGTTAGCAAAAAAGATGCGCTACTAGAGTCGTCTTCGTGTTCTCGTTTAAAACACACTCCTTGGTAATCAAAAATTCTAATTTCTTTGAAAACTTTATCCGCTACCATCATTTTCATTATGATTCCGTTGACTTTACCGAAAAACATACCGGTCTCTTGGACATTTTCCGATGCAATGATGTATCCATTGTTATCTAATATGTAACAATCTCGTTCGTCTGATTCACAAGTGTCTTTTGCTGAACAACCATTTTCCGAATAACACTGTTCAAAAATACATAATGAGCTAGTTTTATATGTATAAAAAAAATAATTATATTACTTGTCTAGTAATATTAATGAAAAGTTCTTGTAAGGCAGAGTGTCGAAACTGATATCCGACAACGGCGGCGGCAGCTTTTTTAGTTGGCTTGGTGTCCTTGTTTGAAACGAATACTGCCTGACTGGCAGTCACCAGTGTGGTTCTGGTGTTTTCTACGTCAAAAAAAAAAAAACACGTTATTCGATAACAAAACTCATATAATGATGTAATCATCAATGCAATTCGATAAAATACTAACCGATTTCGAAAGGCACGGAATATACATAGCTTTCATCGTATACTGAATTGTATTCGACTGCTCGCCTGTACCACACTTCTTCTATAGAATAAATGTTATCTTGAATGAATTGAGGAGTCAGTGACTTAGACTTCTGTTTATAATCTATCCACCTGGTAAGGCCACTATGAGTAGCCACAAAGGCTAACGTTACGCCAAATCTTTTCTCGAATTCGTTTCTGCACGAAGCCGAAATAAACAAAAGTATTTAATTAGTTAGCTGTAGTTTCGTTTATAAATAACATATACATTACCTTGGCAAAAGGCTCATCAAAACGGCCGCTGGACTTTTTTTTTACAAATAAACAAAACAAAAGGTGCATCGTGCGTTATATTAATGTGATAAAAAAATTAATTAGCGTGAGTATTTTGTCTAGTTGTATACTATGTGTATAATTGGCGCGTGAGTGATTATTTTTGTGCGTTTAAGCTGACAAATCACTCTCTCCATGACAAAACCGTGTAACTAGATTTTTTGAAATTATTTAGGAAGAAAGAAATAAAACGCCATTTTTGTATAGCTAAGAATGGAAATAGGGTTTTTAATACTTATTTAAGAAAAATGAAATTTTTTTTAAATAATGTTAAAATATGAGTTAATAATTGAAGTGTATATTTTTTGAAAAAAAAATTCTCAAAATGTCCAGTTACGTGATTTTGCCATAGAGATGATGATGTATAAAGCTTAAAATATTCATTTAACCTTTTTCATTACGATATAAGTATTTCTTTATAGAAGACTACTATGTTATGAGAACAATAGAAATCCGTTTCCTTACTTAATGAACATTCTATATATTTACTTATACAACAGAAATATAGAGTTAAATAAACAAAAAAAGTTGTATGCATTTCCAGTTTAATTTCAAAAGTCAAAGTTTACTGTACGAAGATAATTATTAATTTCTTTATTATTAAGATTTATTAAGATCTTTAAGATCTTTATTAATTGATAAATAATTGAAAATGAAGTCAATAATATTTGTAATTTAAATTAGGTAATATTAACTTAACAATAAAATTTTCTGACACTATGCTTCTATCTAATTACTTAGATATTGTATTATAAGTTATGTAAAGTTATTTTCAATTTTGTGCATTTATTTATGTGTAAATGTGCATTTTATTAAAACGGTGCTGTTAAATATATTCTTCTTATCTAAATATAATTTAAAAATGTGTAGTACGAGTGCAGTTAAATTATACTGTTTAATAAAAACATTGTGCATTGTGAAAAATTTAAATAATAAATTCCATAAAAATTCAACCTAAATTTTTTTGTTCTTTTAAATTAACTTACTTCTTTTTCTTATCAGGATCGTCTTTTGATTCCGTGAATAATCCTTTTGTAATGTTTGCGTCATAAATCAAGCTCAACATTAATTCTTTATTGCCTGAAAATTAATAAAAATTAATTTATTAAAAAAAAAAGACAATTTTTAGTAAAAAGAAGCCACACGCTCAACAAAGCAATTCATTCATAAATAAGATTTCATTCGATAACCCACAAACGCATTCACAAACGTTAAGCTTAAAATTATAAATGCAAAATACATTAAATATATATTTGTAGAAAACAAAAAAAGTTTTATATATCGGTTGACGGTATTATTAAATGTTTAGTTATCTCAAAATAAAGTATATATTTAATATATTTCATCTACTTAAGAAATAATTATTTGGAAAACTATTTATGATTAACAAATATTTTAAATTAAAACGCTAAATTTATCATAGATGTTTAGTATATCATTCAAACATTTTATTTTCATGATACAAGTAGCTTGATAGATGTACATATAAATATTATAAAAGAAAAAAAATTAGTGAGAAAAAACTTTCAAACTAATATATTTTTTAAAACTGTATACAACATCACAATCAAGCTTTTCATCATGCAAAATTTGTCTTTAACTCACAATAACATTTGCAATCATGATATTCCTCGGGCTTTTTCGTCCCATTCGCTGCGAAAATAAGAAATAAACTTACTTGCAATGGATTAAAATGTTTTAGTTTTTAATATTTAATTAACGATAAGTATTGTTCGTAAATGTTCAATATAAAAAAATGTCTTAAATTTATATTTGCATTTAGTATTATAAGACAAATCATTTTATAATTTTTAACCTTAGCATGATTAACCAAATTAACTATATAACCGTTTAAGGAATAATCGATATTATTGTACCAATAGTTTTATAATAATCACTCACAGTAATACGATTCACTGTAGAACCTTGGAGGTGGCCATTTGTTCCAAATATTAGACCTTGTACTAATACGCATGAGAAAATGTTTCAGTTCTTCTTCCTTGGTGTAATTATTGTCTCTGTCATATTCGTATCGACAATAGAGCCTAAAAAAAATTTGGTGAAATTATTAAGTAAAAAATATTTTTTCAAAATAGGGTTGTTAAGAAATATTTAAAAAAAATCCTGTTTAAAATATAAGTAAATAGTTTAAAACGTTTAAAATGACACGTAAGACCAATGTAGATTTTGAAATTTTTTGTGTTTTAAATACTGTGTTTAAAACATAACAACCCTGATTCAAAAATAATTTATCATTAACATTTTTTGCTCACTAGTAATTTATAATTTAAAATGTTTTATTTTTATATTTATAAAAAAAAAAAAAATAACTACCAATCTGGATGAATTTTCCAGTCGTCATCTTTAAAGTAATCAAGCAATGATGATCCTGTAATAGAAAATATATATTTATTAGGATTTGAATCATGTATTGTGTTTAAATATTGTTACTTACTCGTTGTACTTAAATTTTGAAAACGATCAGGTATTCTTACACTATGCCCGAAGTGTTTTTCTTGCAGAGCTACTACAACTGTATAAGGTGTACCTTCCACTAATGAGTAGTAATAATGTCTACTAGCAGTTGCAGCACGTCTCTATCATTAAAAAAGTTTAGTAAATATACTGATTTGAAAACAAGCGGATAAGTTAAAATGTTATTTTTATTAGGGAAAGTTATAAGGAATAGAATTGATTATTAAGAAGAAAGTTCAAATAAATTTCTACTTACTAAATTGTCATAGTGGTATTTAATTGAAAGTTCAAGGTCTCCGGTAGTGTGGTTGATAATGTAACCCCGAAGCTGCAAATACACAAAATCTGTTAAATATCATGGCATGAAAATTCATATTGTTGTAACAGCTTTGTTATCTATACTATTGTTTTTGATTCCTAGTTGTTAAATTGATTTGTCACACTTATCAAGGATTGCTATAAGTTTCACCACAAAGATTCCAACGATCTAAAAAGATCGATGCGCGCTTATATAAATTCAATTACGTTCATTTTAGTTATTAGTTGTTCGTGAGCTGATTAAAGTATATAAGTGGTAGGATTTTAGTAATTTTTAATTTTGCGAGTCGATATAGTTTACATTTAATTAAGTGAGAAATGGTTGGTAACTATGTAAGTAAAAATTATTTTCTTAATTATTTTTCAATTATGTGTTGTAATTAGGCAGCCTGTATAGCTCAGTTGGAAACGTGTCGTGCTTCGATGTGCAAGCATCGAGGATCGATTCCGTACCGCCAAACTGTGCCGGTTTTTCATTTTTCTTTTCTCTCATACTAGTNTCAATTATGTGTTGTAATTAGGCAGCCTGTATAGCTCAGTTGGAAACGTGTCGTGCTTCGATGTGCAAGCATCGAGGATCGATGCCGTACCGCCAAACTGTGCCGGTTTTTCATTTTTCTTTTCTCTCATACCTGTTTTTTTAGTTGAAAAGACGTTAAAATTTAAAAAATAATGATTGAGCGTCTAATCACATGAGAAATTTAAATCGATACTAATTCTTGCAATTAGTATCGATTGGAATTATAAAATTCCTTATTTAAAACGATCGAAATATTATTACATCTTTCAAACTTCTTAAGTCCTTTTAATTTTTAGGTGTCTCGTCGGGTTTTCCTAATTACCTGTTGCATATTATTATTAAACGACGATTTCAAAAGAGCTGTAGAGGCTACGACAACAAGTAATAAGTCAGGCGGTGTTGATACTATTATTGTTGATGCTGTAGTTGTACCTCAAGATGAGAATTCTAGTGTGTATGAATCATCTTCGAAGAAAATTAACAAATTCGAATTAGATCACAAATATTCAAAACCAAAAGCGCGACAAATTAATCATGAACATAATTTTAAAATTATTAACGACGGAGATCATATGAACACAGAACAATCACATAATTCAAATATTCTGATAAATTATCCTTTCTCAATGATGAATTCATATTTTCCTCGATACTTTCCATACAGCTACTCGTACAATTATCCATATAATACCCAATATCTTGGAAGTTACCCTCGTTTTGGTTATTATCCTTATAATTTTGTTGGATGAAGACAAATAAATTATAAACTAATCAATTGTTAATAATCAATAAATATTAAATTTAATGCAACGAAAATACTACCCTCTTGTTCATTCACTTCTAATAATTTAATAATAAGAATAAATATAGCTTACTTTCAATAAGTCTTCGTGATATTCTCTTGGGTGTTGATCACTTTCGACTTGTTCAACTTCGATCATGTCTATACTATTATAATTCGGTTTCAAAATGTTTCCAAACTAAAAAATGAAAATGAAATATTATGATAACATATATAACATCGTGAGTCGTGTTATAACAAATTATTTTATAGTTTATCCTTTTGAATTATATAACAGCTGCCCCATGAGTTTAATTTAGTACGTCCTGTAATATGCTATACAACTATACTAATTTAATTGTGTATAATATTTTGTACCCAACACATGTATTTATTGCAATCTATTTTAACTTGTAAAATTAAAATGATGTAATAAAATATTTAGAAATAATTATAACAGATAAAAATTATTACTATATAGTTATTTTTTGTATTAAATGGTGAGTTAATTTTCGAAATTTTTTCCCAAAAATTACATATATTTATGTATGCAGGATTTAGCAAATCTAACTGACAACTCTCATAACTTTTGAAACAATTATAATTTCGTAAAAAAAATTTTTTTGAACAATTTTTTCATTTTCAAACTACATTAAAAGCATTTTTATTTTTAAGAATAAATAAAAATAAAAAGTATTTTAAAATAGCCACATTTTAATTTTTTTTTTATGAAAAGTTTTAATAGGTTAATAACCATTTTAAGACAAGTATATATTGAATCACAAGAATTTTAACACATGATGTTAATAATACATACTTTAATATAACATATATTTTTTAATTTTATGTAGTATGATTCGGAATATGTATTATAAATATATATCAGTACGAGTTGTACCCACTCGCGCTGCATCGAATTCATTGTATTACAATACTTATAACTCAATCAGTAGTCTATGTACTTATAGAAAATAATAGTTATTTCAAAATTTCAAAAAAGTAAAAAATTTATTTTTGTTAGAGACGAGTAATAAAAAATGTGCTTTAATGTAGTCCAAAACTGTAAAGGTTATCAAATGATAAAAGTAACGCAAATATATATTGGAGCATAAGTTATTAAAGATGTCAAAAACCAGTAGGCGCTGTATATTAAGAGTATATTAGTATTAACTAACAACGTTTATAACTTTGATACAGTTATCATTTTGTTAAATCTTTTTTTATATTTAATAATTATTGCCCTCATACACTATATTTAATGTAATTATTTTTTTATTATTAATCACTAATAAGGAAATTTTTAAATATATTTTTTAGTCTATATACATTTTACAAATTTTAACAATTTTAGGACAGGCCACATACATTTTAATGCATAGAATGAGTTAATTGTGAGTGTAGGTGCAGCTCATACTGATGTATTTGTATTCTCGCGTTCCATACCCACTGTATGTATTAGAATGCTTATAACTCAATAAGTTTTGTCCTAAAATCGTTATTACAATTCAACATTTTTTGTAAGATAAAGGCTAAAAAATTTATTATTTTTTAATTAAATTTTATATATATATACATGTATATTTTTTATTAGTGTTACATAATCAAAAATATGTTTTTAACAATTATTGTTAAAAACAATATTTCAACAAAATGATAATTGTATCACAAGTTATAAACGTCGTTTGTTCAGTATGAAACACACTATATATATATGACTCATATTGCGTTAAAGTAAATTATTTAGATACTTAAAATTATTATTTACCACAGGTCTTAAATCTGGGTGAGTAATTACAAAACCATTGTTAGTAACAATGAAAGCATAGTTGTTGACGCCAAGCTTGTAATAAAAATAAAAAAATAAATTTAAGAGATTAACTAGAATTATTTTGAATACATTTTTTTAATATATATTGCATAGCTTTGAGTAGGTTGTATTCAATTTGAACTTACCACATGTGGCATCATTGCTTCCCGTAAATCTGCTTCTGGAACGTCAGTTCCTACGACACCCAATAAATGGGCGACTTTTGTCTGTAATTATTTTTATAAATTAATTTTGTTAAATTTATTTATCAAAAATGTTTAAATACAAAAAAACAACAATTTTTTAATATTTCTCTATGTTCCAAATAATTAGAAAAATCTAAAATTTAATATATCAATTTTTAAAATATAGTACATCTATGTAATAAATTAAAATTTTACTACTAAATCTAGATTGGAATATTATCAATATTTACTATATGAAACTATTTAAAACAAATGTTATATTTTACTAAAGTTAAGCTACGCGCTAGTTTGTGTAAACACAATGTGTAGGCTAATAAAAAATAATTATATGCCGTACACAGTATTTTTTAAATATTATTAATTATATAAATATAACTATTAAATTAAAAACAAACATTTTAATTTTAAAATAATACTTCTAACATTTTGGTACCCGATTAAAAAAAAATTCCGATTGATTGTGTAGAATTCGGATTTTTCCAATTCGTTACCGAAATTCCAACAAAATCTGTCTAATAAAACAATATACAAGTAATATTATCACCATAATTGTATAGTCAACTACTAAACCTACAACTACGTATATATCTAATTTTTTTTTTTATTCATATTTTATACTAAATTATTTACTTTTACATAAATCTAACCATGTAATTAATGGCTACCTATAATCAGGAGATATTTGTACTTCTAAAACAAATCATTACCTCTAATTTTAATGATAAAAATATTATAAGAAGGAAATCCAAAAAATTTGGTCACAACGTTTGTAAAAATAAAATATACTAAAGTTAGGAACTATTTAACAAAAATTATAAATATACAATAAGGTATGCATTTTTTATATGTATAACTAAAGTCGACCAATACAAAATTATTATCACAGACTACCGAGTGAAATTTTAAATACCTCGCGTGTTTCCCATACCCAGATGTTATCATTTATAAGCCTTCTTACAGTGATATTCTGTTGGGAAATAATGATTAAACATTTTTATTAATAGTTAATTATTGCATTTAATACAATGATAGATTGAATAATAAATAATTTAAAAGTCGAAATTTAAAGTACATATTAAATTATTAGCTAAGTATAATTTTCAAAACTTGTAAATAACACTATTCATTTAGTGAAAAAAAAAAATATGTAGTTGGATTTTTTATTTTTATTTTAGCTGAGATTCGTTTTTTATATAATTTAAGAGATTCATTTAAAAGTTAAAATACTAGAGATTAATTACAAAAAATTATTCATTCTATCTAAAAGGTGCATCATTTGGAGAGTGGCAATTAGGGAATTTGCCTGGTCTAATTTTTAGTGAAAACTGGGACTGATGAATCCGTATTCGTGTCATATTTTATGTAAGTTCATTCCTTGTGAAATCAAATTTATAATAATTTAATATGTATAGTAAAAATTTATATTTATGCAATAAAAAGGACACTTAATATTTCATACGCAATTATTTAAAATAAAAATGAAACCCGATTTAATAGGCCTTCTCTTTGTCATTATAATTAGATACAACATAGATTTTTATTTTGTTGTTAAATAAAAAACATGTATCTTAAACAGCTTAAACTTCAAAATAAAATAAAAACTTTTATGATTATTTTGTTTATAATGTTTAAACAATAGTTACTAACATTGTATCCTAAAATTGTTTATGTAACCTATAAACGTTAAAAGTGAAAATTCTGTTAATCATGTCTCCGGTCTTGGTCTTAACAACCACAGTTAATAGAGTTTTTACTAATATTTCTTATATAGTTAATGCANAATTCTGTTAATCATGTCTCCGGTCTTGGTCTTAACAACCACAGTTAATAGAGTTTTTACTAATATTTCTTATATAGTTAATGTATAATGATTCGATATATATNACAGTTAATAGAGTTTTTACTAATATTTCTTATATAGTTAATGCATTAATTGTATAATATATGTATATGTTTATAATTTTTTTTATGATTCGAAAAGTTTGAAAAGTTTTTAAGTTTAAAAGATTTTTTAGAAAATTCCTTGAATATTATTTATTCATTATTGTCAAAATGATTTTAGAAAAAGTTCTGTTATAGCAATTTTTATATTATTTGTAATAGGTGCATTTTGATAAGCTATTAAAAACTACGAATAACTTTTTAAAATGATTGGTTGGTTAAAAATGCCCTTTATTATTATGAAAATTTTTGAATTATTAACAATTAATCATTTTAAGTATTAGTGACAATATTGAAAGTGTTTATCTGAAACCTTAACTTTGTTAAACTGTCACGTTTAATTAATGTGTAAAGTATAAAAAATATACACAAATAATAACTTACAGTTTCTGTTATTTTGTCGTAAGCTGGCATCGCTATAGATGTGATTAAGTTATGACTTTTTTGTCGGTTTATATTAGTGTTTTGATTTTGTTCCTAAACAGAAAAAATAACAATCAATTTATCTTTATATTTCAATATTTTTTTAAAATATTACTTTTTTAAATCTATCGCGATCCCATTTTTCTAAATTTTTTGGGAAAAAAAATTTATTTTTCATTTTTTTATAACTCAAAGTTTTTTCTCTTTGCTCATTACACTCCTCTCGTTCCCATAAGTAGTCCGTCATTTTTGGATCCTAAAGTCGGTAATATAAATATAATATAGTTCATAAGGCGTATAGAATTTAGTTGAGTACTGTAATATCTGCATAAAGGGGTGTCCAAATTGTAGGGTGATAAGTTTGATGTAGTACTAGTGGTCTTGCCATAACTGGCAAATAATGTACCACTTGTTCTCGAACCTCTTCCACTGTCCGCAAATGAACGAAAAACCCTAAAATGAACAAAAAAATTACTCGTTGAACATCTTCTTAATCTTATTAAAATGTAAATGTATTTACTAACCATGATTCGCACAAGCCATCCATTTTACATCTCTTGTCTCCGGTACTTCGCGACCTATTAGGTATGTAAACACTCTGACTGGCATTCCCTGTGTACCTTCTCGCCAATTGAATAACTTGAAAAGTTCATAAAAATTTTCTGGTACACCATCGGTGACTAACATAATAGCTTGATTACACATTGTACCTCTTTTTTGTTCTCGGTACTGAAATAAAGGTGTAACAGTATTATAATAAAATATATAAATAGTATATAAAATAATGGTTAATCCATGACAAATCATCCAGAAGTGGTTGCATGACTACCTCACTTTTTTTTATGACCTTCCCATTTTTATGGCTATTTCAATGTAAAAAATATTTATGAGGACGCAATAAAATAAATATTATTTATTAAAATATTTTAGAATATTATCATAATAATTTAATTAATTAATTTTTTTATTTTGCAACTAAAATAATAAATTGAATAATTATAACATATATAATAATTATATTGAATCGTAATATAATACATATATAATAATATAAAAAACAATTACAAAAATGTGGTTTGAAAATAACAAAAATCTATCATTAAATTATTTGATTTTGAGTGACTTTTTACTGAGTTTCTAATGCTAAATTTTACATGTTACACTTTTTTCGCAAACTTCAAATTTTTATGATGTATTAAAAAGATGTATAACGAAAAAATTAAAATAAATTTTTTTTGAAATTACGTCAATCAACAGAAATAATTCACCTAATTTTATAAAAAATTTTATTTTATAAATTTCTAAATTCCAAGAAAATTGCTTTAAATATTTGAAATTTAGATGAAACATAGATTATACACTGTACAATACCACATTGGAAAATCACTATATAATAATAACTTCTTAATTGTTTTAATGGAGCTTAAATTGACAATTTATACAGAAAAACACCATTATTAGAAAGTCATAAAAATTTAGAATTTCATATAATTTTTTTTTTTAATGTAAACTTTAAGTTACAATAAGGTCAATTCTAAAATTTTTATTTGATTAAATTAATATTGAATAATCTGTGTGGTTTTTGACGTTCTGGCTATTTTCAACATTTTTTACATTGAAATAGCCATAAAAATAGGAAGGTCATAAAAAAAAAATTGTTTTAATCTAAATATAGCATACAATATAAACCCTACATATTTAAGAAAAAAGTGAGATGGTCATGCAACTACTTTTGAATGATTTGACATGGATTGACCTTTATAGTATAGAAATTTTAGAAAGGTTAGTTTCCAAAGTTTGAAATAATGGTGTTTATTACGGTGAAATATTATCAGAAAGATTATTTACTTTTTCTAGAGTTTTAAATGCTACGGTTAGCGCAATTCTGAAGTCTGATATATTGTTCGGTTCGGCAATATTTTCAACTCCTAATTTCAGTTCTCTTATATTAGCAAGAGTTGCCTAAAAATATATTAAATAAATATGCAAAACATCATTTTTAATGATTTTCGCCTAACATTTTGTTTTGATTACTCACTTGCACAAGTAAATCTTTGTAGCAAGGAACAACCTCTTCTGTTTCATTATTAAATACTAGCACATTAACATAATCGTTAACTGAAAGTGTATCCAATAGTGTATTAATGACATGTCTGGCAATAATTTTGCTTTGACCCATCATGGATCCAGAATTATCCACTAAAATAAGTATATCTTTGGGACAAGCTGCTGCTTCTACGTACCACGGCCTCATTCGACAATCATACAAGTCTACTGGATTTATAGTCCAACTCATGGCTAAAATTTAAAAGATTATATTGAATGTTAAAATATTATCAATATCAGCAAAAATAATAGTTAGAGAAGTATTAATCCATGTGGAATTTTCATTTGTTACTTTAACACATTTAAGTCATTAAACGAAACTTATTCCTGGTTAAATTAATATTAAAGGCATATTTAATATAATAAATGCGAACCTGGATACTGTCGCATGAAACCTGTTGTACTTCCAAAATATTGCCATGACATCCTTGGATCGTTTCTATAATTGAAATCGAATATGGCATCCAAATTTTCGGACCATTTTATAGATTTTAACACATCTGATGCTATTTTGTTCATGAAATTTATTAATAATTTTACATATTGTCAAGATTCTGTTTAGAAGTAATGTGTATTGTAAAAATTAAACATACCTCTATCATAAACGTAGGTTGGTACATGCACAGAACTGTAAGATAAGTTTACTTCCGTATTAAAGAAATGAGAATTTGCTACTAAATTTAAAGGTAAGGATGAATTTGGTTTTTCTGGATCAGGTTTGGCACTTCTATATAAATATGAATTACTTGGCACTGGTTTATTATGAGCATCAAATGCAGCCCCTTCAACAGTGTCTAAAATTCTCTGTAAAAACAAAATAAATAAATTTACTCTTTTCGTACCATTTTATCTTAAATTAATGTCTTCCAAAATATCCCTAGTAACTTTACCTTCAAAGCTTGTTGTTTTTTATCCATCATGGATTTAATCACACTAGAAATGTTGGCAGCTAGAATTTCTCCATTTTTTTCTTCGATTCTAGATTCTTTATTATACTTCTAAAATATGAACAATTTTATGAAATATATTTACACTATATTCAACACATTATACTTGGATGTTCTTTTAATTATTTAATAAGTAGATAATTATAAGTAGTAATTAATCAGACTTAAGTAAAAATGAGAAGAAACTTCACTAAAATTATTAGTTTCTTAAATATTAAATTATGATGCTATTAAACTTACTGCCTGCAATGATTTTCTATTTGTAATGTACTCGCCGCAATTCCAAAGTTCGAAGTACAACTTTTCTGCCCATGTCTGTAACCTAAATTATATAACTTCAAATTATTTTGAATTTGTTAATTATTAAAATTTAGCAATTTGCAAGTGATGTTATTCGATATTATATTGTACTTATTAAGTAACACATTATGTACTTACAAGGCAGTTTTGACAGGTCCATGTTCAAGTTGAACGCAATGATGTGTTGAAAAAGAACATAAAAATAATATAACTAATACATTTTTCAAGCTCATTTCAGTCATTAGTCATTAATTAAATATATTATTTATGTACAAATAGTATGGGTTATACGGTAAACATTTTATATTATTTTAATATATTGATAGTAAAAAAAGAATGATTTTCTTTATTTGTTTGTACGAATAGCCAACGTGGAAACAAAAATAGTAGCTACTGATGGAACTTGGTTACGAGAAGTGAAAGGACCGATCGATATGAGGTCCCTTAGGTGACTAAAGCGACGATTGAGCGCATGGGTATAAGTTTCTTTTGACAGTAACCGCCGCATGGTCATCTGTATCTGTTAAAAGTTTACTTATCAGTTGTTTTATGAATAACTCGCACTACTATATATAAAAACAGCGACTAAAATTAATCGAAACTGGAATTATACTTAGAGTAATTAAATTAAGTGACAAATGAAAAATATACAACTAAAAACTAATAATTGCTAAATATCATTGAAAGTTCGATTTATTAATGAAAATGTCTGTACATTATTAATAGACTTAATTTTTTTTCTAAATAATTAAATTTACATTCAAAGTATTTTTTTATTATTTATCACTAATAAGCAAATAATAAAAATAAATTTCTTTCATATTTCTAAAAACTATTTATAAGCATTTTCTTAAAAAATGTTTTAAAAAATCTATTTTAATATTAAGACACGCATTCAATGAACAACAAACATTTTAATACAATGAGTGGGTATGAAGCGCGGGTGGATGAAAGCATAGCTGGTACACGTATACTTTGCTCTATTTATACAGGAGGCTTAAAATATTCAAGCGTAATATACCTTTTATATATTTAAACGAATAATTATTTTTTTGTTTTTGAGAGGAGGGAAAATTTGATTGATAGTCAAGTTCTAATTCACTAGTAAAAAATATCTACGTAATTACGAAAGGAGATTCGGGTGTCACATCCAAGAACAAAAATTAAAGTTCCTTATTTAATTTCATTGAAACTTAAAAGGAAAAATTTCGAAAAAACAATAATAACAGTTGTACTTCTCCCGAGAGAAAATAAAAAGTATGTTTTCAAACAAATCTGGTATTATTCAATTTGATTGTCAAATTTTCAAACTTTTACTGATAAAAAAAAGATACACATAAATAACTGTTATATATGTTTTATTTTATTATTTGAAACTCGATATTAAATTTGGATTTTTATTTACTTTAATAGACATATAGAAAACATAATTCATTTTTTGTACTTAAAATACATATTAAGATTCAAGATATTTTCTTTCTTTCTTCTAGTGGGGGCTCAACATGCCTGTATATTGAAGAATACTCAAAGAATGACCGAACAATTTTAATGTCGATATACTTATATATACAATTTAAATATTCTATAAATTCTTTAAACTTTTGGAAGTTATCTTTCAATTTATCTTCTAATGATTTTTTAATTTCTTCGTCATTTTCATTAATAATTTTAAATGAATTGACAAAATATTTTTTTTTAATACTTTTATCAATAAACTTTATATTTTTACTATTTATAATATCATAGGATTTAGTTTTACTTGGTTTTTCAGAGAATGAATGTTGTATAATGTAGTAGATATTTTCTGGTTTATTTTTAAATTTGAATATATTATTTAATGTATCATTATTATTCAATAGTTCGTACATTATGGTATTATTAATTTTAATAATATTGTCATTTTCACTTAACAATAAATACGATAGATGTTTCCTAATAAAATACAAAGCTACGATTCTAAAAATGTTAAAAACTTTGTTTTGATAATCTTTTATTTTTAAAATCCATATATCAAACCAATAATAATCCTTTGTTATTTTGTATGCAGTATTAATATTATCAATTATATCGTTATAAATGTTCTGACTTTGTTCCCCAAAAGTCATTATTATTGTTTTCAAAATATCTTCGTTTTTTATAAATTCGTAAAGATAAATATTACTAAGTGAAATCCAATTTTCTACTTCTATACCACTCAAAAAAAAGGAATTATTCTGATTTCTTTTATTCATAACATGAATAATATTTTTTATTTCTTTACTTATGTATGTGTCATTTTTATTTGTTTTTTTAACTTTGGTAATCTTTATGTCACAATCGTTTTTTGTGTGTGATTTTAAAATTTCTATTATAACTCGTATAAGATCCTTAAAATGTATAACCAAGTTATCATCCGAATAATTTTTCTGTTTTCTTATGTAAATTGCATACATGAACATAGCCCATAAAGGATCTAAAGGTGCATCTAGTTCTGACTTTAGCATTAGGGCTAGCATGTGTTTAATAATTGATTCATCTAAAAGTAAACTATCATTTTCTTTTAATATTTCAATTTTTTTTAATGAATCAATAAGGATCATATATTGTAAAAGATTATTTAAGTTACTGCAATAAAGGTTGTAGTAGATAATTTGTGGCCTGTTGTATAGTTCAAATGATGATGGTTTGTTTATATCATTAGTCATGATACGTTTAAATTCCTTTATATTCACACGAGATGGTAAATTGTGTGTTAATCGTTCATATCCAGTATCCAATTGCCATGCTATTTCAAGTTCTTCTACATCTTCAAAATTCTCCGGTGTCGGTTTATAACAACAACATGTAATAAATTGGATATTAATAAATATCCCAAAAAATATTATCAGCACGAAAAATTGATGAAAAATCATTATTATAATCTCAGTTACTTACTATTGGTATGACTTCTCAAGAAAAAAACTTTTTTAAAACTACACATTTAATAAATTTTAGATATTTTAGTGTATGTTTTCATTTATATAGATATATTTATAAATACATTTATTACGCTGACAAATTTTGTTTTCAAAAATAAAAAGTACATTCAATTTAAAAGTGATTTATNACATAGAATGATATAGAATGATATAGAATGATTTAGAATGATATAGAATGATTTAGAATGATATAGAATGAGTGTAACTAGCGCATACTAAACCACGACTGACTGTAGGGTACCTACAGTGGGAGTCCTTTGCCCATGGTTGCCCTAAAACCCTTGGTCAGCACATTCCTGTGTTCGACGACAGTCGGACGACCATGTATTATATACTCCACACAATTATAAAATAATATTCAGGGGTTCTTAACAGTATTTTATAGTCTAAATAATAGCATTATTATAATATTTATTATTTAGACTATACATTTTACTGAACCATTATTGAAGGAATTTTAACGACTTTTCTGTAATATCTTTAAGAGTTAAGAGTCTAATTTGAAATTCAGAAATCATTTATAATATGACTTTATCTTTTTATGTACTTACATAAATTGTTAAATATTGTTAATTATATTATTAATTTATTTAATGTACTTACAATTTTTCACTTAAGTGATGGGATTCTTGATCTTTATTGAAATTATTGAATCTAAATGAGATGAAAATTAAATGAGTTTAACTTAAATTTATTCGAACTTAAAAAAGAATTAAGAAAAAATGCAAGAAATTCCTTGGCATACGCGGGTTGGAACCTTGTACCCTATACGCGTAGGACACAAGTGTTAGCGACTCGGCAACCGTACGTCACTTTCGACGACTGAAAAAATGGCAATTTAAGCGAGTTCGAATTTCAAAATTATTTTTCTCGACTTAAAAAAAGCAAAAAAATATAAATAGGTGTAAAGTTCTATGCTATATCANGTATATAATACATTTATGAGGTATCTCATAAACATTTCGAAGATCGATTTTTTTTGAGCCACCCTAATATATATATATATATAAGTGTCAGACTTTCCGAGACACTTTCAAAAGTTAAGTTGAAAAAGTTAACTTTTTGTGAAACAGTTGTCATTTTAAACCCCCCTGTGGGCAGATAAAAAGACAGATTTATAAAAAAATATACCAAATGAAAGGTAAAGACATTATGCATTTATAAAAAAAAAGTTATGGCAGTTTTAAGTAAAAAAAATTTTAAAAATGTCAAAAATTAGCGATTTTTAAATTTGTCATTTTTTGGATATTTCCCCCACTTATGGGTAACGAGGGAAATTTTTCAATTTTTGAGGGTAATGTCTTCGACTAGATACGATTTGTGATATTTTGACATTCGTTAAAAGAAATCGGTTCGATGAGAGCTGAGAAAAAGTGGTAACAGACACAAAAAAAACACATCATAATAAAATTAATACTTTCTTAGCTTTGCTTCGAAGCTAAAAGATTACCCAATAGAGTAATATACAAATATTTTACTGTATGGACGACGCTGCCGGTCATCCAAAATCAGTACATAAGATCGCAGCTGAGCCATAACCGCACGCACATGATTGCAGCACCTCGCTAATGATATACGTTTAAGAATATTGCTCGGACAACGTTTCCGGTCGTCCAAACACCCATAGTAAAATGAATAAGTATGCTTGATCAAATTAGTGCGCATGATTGGCCTAGGGGCAAAATATGCAACTAACAATAAACTCTACTTAATGTCACACGTAAATACGTTGTGTTGTGTATATTCTATATAAGGAGCACTGTCCCGATTTAGTCAATTATTTTAATGAACTTTTTAAGTTTAATTTGGTTTCAAATTTCATTTATAATTTTTAGCTTCGATGCGAAGTTGAGAAGGTATTAATTTTACTATAATGTGTTTTTTTTTGTGTCTGTTAAGATATTAAGAGAAAAATGAATTGATTGAAAAGCTCATCTTCAAATTATATAAAGATTAAATAACAGAAATGTAAATGGATCATTAAAAGAAGCAACAATAAGGAGAGGAATGAGACAAGGATGCCCATGGTAGCTCTATCTATTCAATATTTCTTTGAAATGAGCATAGACATTATGTAAAGCAAGATCAATGGATTGAAAATAAATGGTTAACATATATACTGTATTCGCTTTGCTGATGACATTGTTATCTTAGCACAGTCTGAACATGACATAAGTAATATGCAAAAAATTCTATCAAGTGCACTTGAAGAATTTAAAATGAAAATAAATTCCATGAAAACCAAAACAATGCAAACACAGATCTAAAGCAAACATTCCAAAACAAGATTCAGCTTATCACCAATAAACATCGGACCTTTGGCATACGTAAAAGATTCTTTGAAACGTTTGTCTGGAGTGTGTTTTCATATAGCAGTGAAACATGAACAATTGACAAGAATGATAGAAGCAAATTAGAAAACATTAGAGTTATAGATATTGAGAAAAATATCAAAGACAAATTGAATAGGTAAGAAAAGAAATGAGCAAGTGTTAGAAGAAGTACGAG